TGTAACTATAAGAAAATTCATTGTGGGCTGGGGTTGTGGCTCAGCGATAGCACACTTGCCTGGCATGTGTGAGGCACTGAGTTTGATTCTCAGCACCACATATAAACAAATAAAACAAAGGTCTATCAACAACTAAAAAAAATCCTTAAAAAATGCATTCTATAAAAAAAAGAAAAGAAAATTCATTGAACTGTACACTTAGGATAGGTGAAATTTGAATTTTATAAAATTATTTTTTAAAGAATTAAGTTGGGGCCAGGAACATGCCTGTAATCCCAACAACTCTGAAGGCTGAGGCAGAAGGATCATAAATTTTATTTTTTATTTTATTTTTTTGAGAGAGAGAGAGAGAGAGAGAGAATTTTTTTTTTAATATTTATTTTTTAGTTTTCGGCGGACACAACATCTTTGTATGTGGTGCTGGGAATCGAACCCGGGCCGCATGCATGCCAGGCGGGCGCGCTACCGCTTGAGCCACATCCCCAGCCCGATCATAAATTTTAAGCAATTTAGCAAGACCTTGGGAGTGTAGCTTAGTGGTACATTTTCCCTGGGTTCTATCCCAAGTGCTGAGGGGGGAAAAAAAAAAGCTGGGGCAAGTAGGCAGTCATTCAGTAAATCTACAGGAGATGGGAGTTAGAAAACTAAATGAAGGAAGGATCATTGGACTGAATGGTTACATATCTATAGCAGAGAAAAGGGTAAACCAGGTAAGGGTCAGCTGACCCAAGAGTGAAGAGTGAAAAGTTATTCTCACCAGGCAGGCACAGGGCCCTCAGCTTCATGTGGGCAAGTTGGATATCTGCAAGACTAGGCAGCTCATCCATAGTGTCTACCAGGACGACRTCAGAATGCCCAGCCTGGAGCATGGACTCCACTGCTCTGGAGGGGAGGAGTCAGAAATTAAGGAAAGGAGTCTTCCCTGAACACCTAATTCATGAGTCTTCTCATCAGGCCCCCCCTTACCTGATATCCTCCTTGTTAGGGTCACTTGCTGTATAGAAGCCTCCACAGCGGAGAAGATCACTGCCCCCAGGGTGATGCCAGGACAGGCGCTTTAGATGGATGTGAAGGATGGCATTGAGGGAGAAACACTAATCCCAAGCTATCCTTGTCCCCACAATGACCTCACAAGGGTCCCTCCCTCCACATTGTCCCCTGACTTTCCATGACCCTCTAATCCCAAATATTACCCTATCCCCACACTGACCGGTCCACGGCCCTGACGGAAGTGTCCAAATGCTCTCCTGACCTCACTGTCCAGAATTCGGCTGGGGACCCAGAAGTAACGGGGGAGGCTGTGAAATTGAAAGTGGTGTCACAGCTGTAAAGCTGATACTACAAGGAAGCTGTTTTGCAGAGACATTCCAAGGGATCTCAGGTTTTAAGAACAAGGAGGTAACACAGATAGCTTTGTAGAGAACCTAGGAGACTGGAGTTTGCTGGAATTTCTAGCTTTAGAGGATCTGAGAACTATAGGAAGATTGGAAGGGCAGCAGGGGTTGCAGTGGACCAGAAGATCACCTGGTGGCTACGTCGAACCTCTCATTGACAGTGCTAACCCTCCAGCCTTTTGCTCCCTGATTCTTCCGCTCAATCTCCCAGTCTTCAAATGTCTCCAAGAGAGGAATAGGTGGTTTCCTGGAGCCAGAACCCTGGCCTAGGGCAGGAAAAGGCACAGAGGAGAAAGAAAAGGAACCAGACACAGTTTCTCCGCTCTCTCTTTGTTTTGGCCAGCCCCTGCTGTTTCAGTCTCCTTACCCTATGGCACCCTTACTCACCAGCCTTGCTCAGGGCTGCTCCTGCACACTGCTGGGTGTGACTGCTCTGAGCTCTGGCTTGAACAATGGCCATGGTCACCTATGGAGGAAAGTACATCCCATCCTTTTGTCTTAGACTGAAGAAGTGAAAAGAAGGAAATGGGGCCCATGCACTCCACTGTCTTTACCAATAGTGAACAGCAAAGGCAGTCCCTAGAGGAGGGGGCTTCCATAGGTCATGGGAACTGGGGTCAGGAGAACATATCTAGAACCACAGAATGAGAGTATCAATTCTGGGAAGAATCTTAGGAATAATATCATCCTACCCTCCCATTTTTCAGAGGAGGAAACTTGCCCACAGTCAGACAACTGGTAATTGTCCCTTACTCTCATGACACTATCATTTAACACAGCCTTTTAGCTTCTTGTGRAGGAGAGGAGCAAGAGGAATGATGAGAGGGACCCTGGAGGATGGGGAAGTACTGGGACTTGCCAGGGAGAGGACCTCCATATTCTAAGAAGAGGCGATATCTTTATTTAGGGGCTCCTTACCTGAAAGGCTTGAGGCTCTAGTCCTCCAGCCTCAAAACCAACTCTGAGCAGCCGGAAGTCTTGGCCATGAATCAGAATCTCCTCAGGGATAAATTTAAGCTGGGATCCTGGACGGAGGAGCTGAACTCGGGACAAGCCACTCACTGAAGTCAAGAGTTAGCATTGTAACCATGGGGTCCCTCTGGGAGGACCTCGAACAGCTCATCCCACCCCATTCCTGGCTGTATTTGGGGAATAGAAGGATGATGATGAGGGTCCCAACACCCCTTTCACCAAACCCACACACTTACCAGCCTCTAATCTCTCAATGTTGATCAGGGCAAAATCATATTCACTGCTCAGGGGCGTATCCTGGAGGAAGCACATAAGCACTACAGCAGACATCTGTAGTAACCCTTGTCTTCCCTAATTTGGTGGTCCCCACCCACTCTAGGAAGCAATGCCCCTAGAAATAATCCCTATTGGCTATCACTTATACATTCAAAAGACACACCTTAATCTATAACTCATCTAAATCCTTCTAGACTCCCCTACCCATTTAACTCTCGCTGTCTGTTCTGTTGTCCTAGTCATCTCACCTGACTCCGCTGCCATCCATAGGGCTGGAAGGTGACCCTAAAGTTAGTACAGATCAGGGTTCCAGACAGTTCAGGTTCTAGCCCTTTCCTCAGTCCTGGGGCCCATGCTAGGATCTGTTCCCCTAAAAGGGAAGAAGGGAAGCCTGGTTATGACTAGCCTTAATGTTACTTGGCACATAGTAAATGAGAAAAGGAGGAATGGTCAAGAAAACAGGATGGGGCTGGGGATAGAGCTAAGTGGCAGTGCCTGCAATAGAAGAAAGACAGAAAACAGGGAATAGCAAGGTCTAAGCTCTCAACCAGATAGGGACAGAGGGAAAAAAGGAGGCCTCAGACAGAAGCACTTTGAGACAGGAAAGGAACTCAGAGGTATCTTTGGTGAGGCTGTGAAACAAAGTTGAGTAGGATGAAATTTGGAGGTGTCTTAGGAAATCAGGTCATTACCTGGGAGGCATCCAGAGGCCAGGCAACTGCCAAGCTGACGACTCCTGGGCTCAGGCATCCTGTTTCCCTGGACAGACTTTGGTCCCAACTGTTGAGAAGGGTGTAGGGTTAATGCTGGGCCTCCCCAACTCTGGGGTCTAGAATTATCTCAGCAACTGCCTTTGAAGGCTTCTGTACCCAGACTCATGGGGAAACKGAGCTCTGCTGTGGGGAACTCAGGATTGGGGTTGGCAGGCAGTAAAGGGAGGGGCTGGTTAATGGATAATGAGACCATGAACATGAGACTGTGTAAAAGGCAGATCAAGCTCCATCAACCAAAGTTGATATGACAGACACACCCTCTTCCTCTAGATCCTTTTCTTCCCCTCCGTATCTCCACTGCATCCCCATTCACACTCTCTTGCCAAACCCCCAATCCTCCTTACCCCCATCTCTGGCTCCTCCTTCTGGGGGGCAATGTTGAAACTCTGGCCCCGACCCCCCCACCACATTTCTCTGGCTCCATCCAGGGATGGAGCAGTTAAGGGTGGGAAACCTTAAGGATGCTCAGTCCCTCTGGGGAGAAGCTGAATCTTCTAGTTGAGAAGACGGAGGTTAGGAAGAGAAGCAGTGGGGAAGACAGGAAGGAAACGGGCATTTGAGGTGCACAGAGCACAGTTTGGGGTCTTTGGAAAGGTATGTCCAGCCCAGCAAGAGTAGACTCCTCGGAAACTTCAGTCGATTCTGGAGAGGGCGGGAGACAGGCCCAGCCCCTTAAAGGAGAATGCACACAATTTTGGAGAAGAAGAGAGGAAATGGAGGAGCCTGAGAAAGATGAGAGGAAAAGAGAGAAAAATGCCGAGACCCCCTTCTTTACCCCAAGCCCACATCCTACTCTCTTCCTGTTCATGAGTATTAGAGATGTTTAAGGGGGGGGGGGGGRGGCTGTAATACTGATTACTGGAATGACTTGGGCTATGTCTTCGGACTCTTCCAGGGAGGACTTTCCTAGGAAGCTCAGTTTTGTTTGGCTTCTTAAAGGGCACAAAAGGATAGGGATGCMGAGTAGTTCAGATCTGCCTACTGCCTTCTCTGACAAATCTAACACAAATGGTTGTTAAGAAGTAAATGGAAAACTGGATCTCAGATTTTGTCAGGAAAGGTTCAAGAATTAGGGAGAGGGCTGGTCACAATTTTTGTTCATCCTGCAGAGTACCTGAAACATGCCTCACGTGAAGAGATCAGAGGAGAAGGGAGGAAGCTGAGATGTGTCCAGGATGCAGACACGTTGCAGGTACATTTGTGTGCATGTCTTTCGAGTGGGGCTGGGAGGCCAAAAACAAGCCCTTACACTTAAACCTTGACCATTAAAGCCACTAGGCGTACCTCTCCACTCAGGCTCCAACTAAATGGCAGTAAATCCCCAGCTCAGGTACATGACTCCACCCCTTCAGCCCAGACACCAGATCTCCAAATGAATGATTCATGTTCAGGGCTTTCAAACCTGAGGCTGGAAACTTTCAGTACAAGATCACAGCCCCCCTCCTTCCCTGCTGCAACCCAAGAAGCCAAGATGGTGGGGGAGGTCTAGAAACAAGTAGAGGAGATGCAGCAGAGGGTCACTTGGGAGAAGCAATGCAAAACTGTTTATTATGAAAAAGACAGGAAATAAAATACAAAATAACAGTTTAATGAGCCACTGTTTTATTGTTTTTTGACTCTGTACAGAGGCAGCAATCCTTAGGTGGGGGCTCCAGTATTCCAAACTGATATTCAACTCTCCCCCTCCCCGCAGCACACATACTCTTCTGGCCTCGGCTTTAATAAAATTTCCCTGTCTTGGCTGCAACTATGGAAATAGTGAAGATATTGTGAGACAGGGAGTCAGTCTGGAACAAAAAAGTATACACCTGCTAGGAAAGGGGCCCAGAAGCCTAATTCTAGAAGTTCTAAAAGCTACTGAGCACCACCACCCCACCTCACACCCCTGTACCCAATTCACAGACCTCAACCTCTCCGGGAAAGAAAATACTTCCCAAACTCTGTTGTAAATAAGAAAACAAAGCATAGGAAGTGGTGTGTACCACAATTTAAAAATCCCATTATCTACTTCTCACTACTCTTCATTCAAGAGCAACATTCTGTTCTTTAATACTTTTGAGGTATGGGAGCAGCAAAGGAATAGAGAGAGAAAAAAAAAACATCAGGGGGAATGGGTGGGGGGGATTGGAGAGAAATAAATTGGATGATTTGGATCAGCACCTAACCAGGAATGCAAAGGGGGGCAGTAGCTGATTATTAACAGGACCACTTTTCACTACCCCCAACACAAACCCAGTAGAAGTTCACTGGATAAAAAGGAGGGTGGAGAAGCAAGGGGCTGTATCAGATTTTTCCATTTTCAGAATCCTGCTCTGGTTGCAGGTTTGTGCCAGGAGTGAAAGCTGATTGGGAGGGGCAGTTGGAGGAGGGAGGTGGAGCTGAGTGACTCACAAGATGAGTCACAGATCCAGTTATAAACATAAAAAGAGGCCAAGGTCCTTCCCACCCCCACTCCTCTTAGCCAATTTCCCTTGCTCCTTTTTACTGTCCCTTACCCATGTGGCCAAAAAAGGAAGGTGGCACAGAGAAAGTCTACATGGGGGCATCATAATAAATATTTTGTTAATCAACTTAAGTAGAGGGGGCAAAACGCCCTATGATTTACAGACTGATCAGCTGCAAAGAGACAGAGTGCCTGTATGACTCACTGAATCTGCAGTTGAAGAGCCTGGAGGGAAAGAAGGAAATTAGAAAAATCTGGGGTGCAGGTGGTTACAGGCAGGGAAGGGGCTTCTAATTCTGGCTCTCACTAGTGGCTGTATGTCGGGGGCACTGCCTCCTTGGAGAAAGAAGAGGACAAAAGAATCCAGAGGTATCTGAGTAATTCAGGGATAATCATCTCTGAAATGCTCCTGTATTAAGAGGAAAAAAAGTGCCTGGAACTTTGGACATGTGGCTAAAAGGAGTCAGAACAGCAAAAGCTAGGTTCTCAGAAGTCAGCTCCAATTCTTTCTGGCTCCAAAATATACAATATGCTCCAAAATACACATTGCTAATTTTTGTGTGTTGGTCTGAGCTTCAGTTTTGCTATGAGAAGATGAGAGCCAACAGGAGGGAAGATACTTCCATTCAAAGTCCCTGCACAGTGCTGAGTTTAACGCCACCCTCTACTCCTTAAAAAGACTGAATCTTAAAAATCATCATCATCATTATCATCTATATATTTTGTTGAGTTAACTTGTAACTCTCAATAAAAATTAAGGGAGGAATCCAAAGGCCTACCCTGTAACGTATTTGTTCCACTGTGGACAGGACAGAAAAATGTGGAGGGGGACAGCACTGTCCTAAATCAAAAGGGGAAAAATAAGAAACCTGAAAATCTCCCCTCTACATTAAAAACTTCAGTAGGTACCCTAGATGCCCTGGATTAAAGGAACTAAGTGCACTTAAATTTAAGCCTGAGATGAYTTCATACTTTATCTAGGGATTCAGGGTCCACCTTCTCCCTTCACTCACATACTCCTCCTTAACCAAGGAACTTTTGCTCATTTTGAGTACATCCCATGTAACCCCTCCCTCCCTTCTTCTCAACAGAGATTGCCCTTCCTCTTTCCTACAACAAACCAATACTTGTCAGTCTTAATTTCCCAGATWTTATTCCTAACTCCCAACCCACCCAACCCCTCTGCCCCATAATAAAGCAAACATCACTATCCCCCATTAAAAAAAAAAAAAATCCGTTGTTTCAGGGTCCCAAATCCTTAGAATGAAGAGGTTTTTTTTAATCTCTTAATAGTACCTTCCCGAGCTTAAAAAAAAATCTTAATAAAATCCTTACATAAGGCCTAAAGCCCTTTTTCCCCATAATTACTTCCTTCCTCGCCCCATCAAATTTCCATCTTCTTTTTTTTTTCATTTGAAAAGAGAGTAAAAAGAACTGAGATCGGCTTATTTATAAATAAAAACAAACATGATACAAAGTTTCTGGTTTTGTTCATTTGTCCTCCGTTTTTAAAGCAAAAGCATTAACTAAAATCTAACAACAGATCAAATCCAAACACAGCAGTCCAATGGAGGATCAACTTCCCTGGTTTTATTCTCTGGGGAAACCCCTGGTCTGTTTCCACTTCTATTGGTCCAGGCCATCATCCTATGATATGGAAGCCTAAGGGAGTATGGGGAGGGCCCAGTGTTGGTTTAAGCCACTAAGTGTCTTGTACAGGGTAGGGATGGAGGCTCACATGGTGGAAGATTCATCAGTGTTATTCAACCCCAGAAACAGGGACAAGACTAGGGTGAGGTGAACAAGGCACTCACTGTGGGCACAAAATGGAAGAAGTGATTAAAAACCCAGGTAAATACTATTTTGACACAWTTTTTTAAAAATTAAAACTAAAGTTAAAAAAAAACTCATGATGAACAACATTTCAAACATTTAACTAAAGACAGGATCCATCCTCATACTTGATTAATCCAACTTCACTTCTCTCTGGTCCTTGGTCAGATCCTGTCTTCAAGATTTTGATTTTTGTTCAACATGGATTTTTGGCGTTCATTTTTTTAAAAATACTTAACTTTTAAAGTATTGGATTACCGAGTACTCATTTAAATTGTGTGCCTGAGGGGAGTGCATATCTCATGCTAGGTTCTTATATACATATCCCTTTCTTTGGAGTCTCATTGCTTCCTTAAAACCAATCTATTGTCAAATAAATGCCTGAGAATTAATAGCCACAGTTAATGATTAAATCAGCAGACTAGTCAATTTTGGAAAATAAGTGACTTTCGCCTTTGTTGAGGAGAAAGGAACCTTTCTAAATTGAGCAGTTCTAATGAGTGAGTCTTGGCTGGCTTTGTTGGTGAGGGAAAAAATGGGATGAAAACTTTCTCGGGACTGGGCAGAAGGAACATATGCAATTCAGAGTACCCCCAACACACACATTCCCAGCTTGTGCACCTCGGATCAAATGTGGGGATTCTATTCCACTACACACTGATGAACACATACCTCAAACAAAGAAGTTCAAGCACAGAAAAATAGCCCCAATTAAAACTCTGGACACTTAAGTACACTTATTCCCCTTCTCCATATGCACCCAGGAGTGTATACAATTGCATAGTTGATTTTTTCCCCCAGGAAAAAATATAAAGAAACGGAAAACTGGCCCAGGAAGGACTTCTGGCTTAAAGCTCTTAGAAATGGTTCTGGCCAGATCATAAGCTGCCCAGACTTGTGCTTTGTGCAAAATGCAAAGGACCTCCCCCCAACTGTGTCTACATCCCTATCCGCTGGATAATAGGGTTGGGTCAATGAAAGGGAGAAATCCAAAGACAGATCAGCTCATTGGGAGTTATCTGTGATCTGTGGTTATAGTTCACTAAAATATATTTCTCTAACTACCTTTTTATAAATTGCCCTAACCCCCACCCCATGTTTCAACTTCAGTCCTAATATCAAAAATATCTCTTCTTACAAAGTTTATTTATTTATTTATTTTAATAAACTAACCACAGATTAAGGTCAGCTCTGGCTTAACAAAAGAAGCCGGGATGTTAAGTTCATTCTCCAAAAGTAGAGAGGAAGGAGAAAGAATCACTTAAATAGGAAAAAAATAATAATAATTTTTAAAGTGTTTTGTTTGTCGGGGTCCTTTTGTTTCTTTTCTTTAAAAAAATTAGTCAATAAAATAAGTTGCTTTCTACAGAAAAACAGCAGCAGAGGATATTAGTGCTTTATGTAGGTTTTTGGTTTTGTTTGAAACAGTCTGGCCAAATRTCTGTCCTTATCCCACCCCTCCCAAGATGCACTTGACCCTCACATATGGTTATTGCTAAGTAGTTAGATCACTCTGCACCCATTCACCTGGAGAAAATTCAACACACAGCTGCTCTTCTCATCACTCTCTTTTCCAGAGGAATTTTTTTAAAATAAAATTAAAGTCTTTTAAAAAAAAACACAACCTTCTTAACTTAGCTGAGTTCAGCCTCAAAAAGGATGAGGAAAAGAGAGGAGGCAATCTCCTTTCAAACTAGATAGATGACTATTCAGAAGGAAATCAAACTTCAGAGGAAAAAGAATCCCCTTTTAAATTCCTCCCCTTCCCATCTCCTTAAACTGGAATTTAAACTACCTTCCCCAACAAGCATTCAAGAGCACACTTTACTGTCTTGTCTTTCCAGATCCTTCTGGAGGTAGAATTTATCCAACTCTAATTACTACCCTATTCAAATCAATAGTAAATTTTGTCCAATATCTATTTCCCTCCACACTCCCAACTCCACCACCATGTGCTTTATTCCAACCTAAAAGAACTTTGGTCTCTTTTTTTCTTTAATTAACTGAGAATCTACTTTACCAGTTTCTCCCCCAGACATCTGTCCACTTCCCACTTCCCCACACCAAACCCTCTCATACTACTTTCCATTAGATCCTGGGATGGGACTGAAAGGGTTTTGAGACACAATTACCATCCCTACCCCTTTGTACCTCCTCAGTCCCATCAAGTCAAGCTCTACAAAGGAATAGTACAGCCCTTGAGGCACCAYCCAACCCTGACCTGATCTTGCCCACTTGGCAGCACTCAAGCGCACACACCTAAGCTTCCAGCTAGGCTCCCATAAACATTTCTGCATTTGCCCCATCAACCTGGGGGGCTGGGTCTTGATGAGCCAGTGTGTTGCGCTTAACTTTCTTCATTCGGCCCCCTTGCCCTCACAGGTTCCATCCACTCAGAACCTGTGCACCAGCAGCTCCCCACCCGGCTCACGTTCCCGCCTCCTCAGTTCTTCCCTGTAACAGCAAGAGCAGAAGTTGTTTGTCTCAGGGTGTCCATAAAAGCTGCAGTTCGGTTGTTTGCATTTGGTCTGGGTTGGGGGAAGCCCCCGGGGGCCTCCAGCCCATCCATCTGGCTCAGGGGGTTCTCTATAGCCGTTGCTATAGGAATCAGCCACGCGAAAGTGGGGTGGTAACAATGCACCCCTGTGAACTCCATCCTTGGAGTGACTGCCTGGCTCCAGAGAAGGGATGCTGTCCTGGTGGGAGTAGGGTCGCCCGGGAGGGCACTGTCTGGGAAAGGTCGCATATGGTGGCAGGCCCCCCCCACAAGGACCCCCTGCCAACTGCCTTCGGGGTTCCTGGCAGTGCACTCCACCCCCAGAAGGCCGAGGGATAGTAAAGCCCCCAGGATAGCCAGTAGAGTATGCCAGTGCCTTGGACTCTGCTCGGGGGGCAGTCAGCTGTTCCTCCCCGCCATCTGGCTCTGGCTTTTTGGCCGGGGGAGGCCCACTCCCTACCCCTCCATTCATGATCTTCCTCTCTGCCTCCTTCTGTTTCTGCTCTGCCAGGAATCTCTCCTCAGCATCAGATAGGTAGCGCTGGATCATCTCCTCCTGATATTGGTGACGGTGACCCATCTTCAGGGTTCCAACAAAAATAAATTTCCCCTCCCCTTGCATGGCAATCCTCATAATGCTCAGGCTTTGCATCACCTCCTGGCTATACTTGCTCCCTCCATTACCAACAGACTCAGATGTGGGCTTCTCAGATACAGGTCCATCCCCCACTACCTCCTCTTTGACACCTTTCCAGCTCTTCAGTGAGTTTTTCTTCTTCTTCTCCAGTGTTTCAGTGCCACTGCTTACCCCCGACCCGGTTCCCACCCCTCCAGGCTTAGAGCCCTTGCTGTGCATCAGGCCTCCCATGTTCTTCTTGAGCTTGCTGCCCAAGGTTTTGCCAAAGCTGCCCAGTTTGTTAGCCACAGAATCTGCTCTTTTCTTGTCTTTCTCCCGATCTCGCTTTGACTTCTCCTTCCGCCGGCTGCCTTCATTGCTGGTAGAACTACTGCCAACTGACTCCTTGTCTGATTCCCCAGATTCAGGAGTGGATCGGGGCTCATCTCCAGCTGAGGCTGTGGGAGACTCAGGTTGGGCCAGAGGAGCCTAAAAGAGACAAAAACAGTGCTGACAGTTATCCCAACTGGTTTGGGCTGGCCCTTGGGCCCATCCATCAGCTCTCAGGGCTCCCTGCAGCCGCTGTTATAGGAATTAGCCATATGGAAAGGGTACTAAGTACCTTGTGAACTCCATCCTTAGATTGCCTAGCTCCAGAGAATGGCTGTTGTCATGACGGGGAAAGGTCACCCAGGATTCAGAATCTGTCCTTCTCTGGCTCTAGTCAGCTTTCTCATGGGTTAAAGATGTATGTAATATCCAACTCTGATCTCAGCCACTGCCATCTGACTCCTTTCTATTCTAGATACCAAAAGAAACCTCACTGCTCACCATGTATTGCATGGTGAACAACCGTGCAACCATACAATACTCAGCTTCTGGGTAAGGAGGGAGAATATTTCAGATACCAGAATGTCCTTTATTATAAACATCTCTATATCAAGTACTGTTCAAAATTAATCTAAAGGAAGTCTTGGCTAGTCACAACCAACAAAGCCCAACCATCCTTTTAAACTTTAGCACTCTGATGTTCATCAATTTTCTCTTGCTTCTGCTGTTCTAACTTAGAACCCCTGGGGTCCCAAAACTCCTGAAAAAATTCTGTCTCTTTCTGGTGCCTAAAACAGGTCTAACTACAGCATGATTGGGACAAAGTAATGACAACCTCAAGTTCACCAGAAAATGTTTTTGTTTGTTTTGTTGTACTACAGATTGAACCCAGGGGCTTATATGTGCTAGGCAAGTGACTCTACCATTGAGTTACACCCCAGTTCCTAGAAAATGCTTCTTTTTTAAAAAAATTTATTTTTTAGTTGTAGTTGGACACAATACCTTTATTTTATTTATTTTTATGTGGTGCTGAGGATGGAACCCAGAGCCTCACACCTGCTAGGTGAGCACTCTACAGCTGAGCTACAACCCCAGCCCTAGAAAATGTTTCTTAAAGACTGCATTTTAGTATAAGAAAGCAGAGCCTGATTGGAGAAATATAGTCCACAGAGGAAACTAACAGGTAGCAAGGTAGGAAAAGGTATCCTTTGGAAATTATCTGACATCTTCCYATTACTCCTAACCTTGATGCGTAAGCTACCACTCAGAACAGATTTAGAAGGTAAGCATTAACCAGATCTCCTTATTCTGTCACTGAAAGTGAGGCAAATGTGGGTAGGGATGGAAGAAGCTTTCACCTGTGCATCAGAAGACAATGAGATCCACTTCACATTCATGTAGCTATGCAGCAAATGCAATTTAACCTCTAGGGACAGAATTACACTGTGAAAAGGAGAAAAAAAAAGGATTTAAAAACTTAATGTAATCTAGTAAAGAAAAGGGGTATGATATAGTTGAGAAGAAAGGTGGATGGAGGGGCCTCTACACATGGCTTAGGACTCAAACAGAAATGGGTTTTAATCAAAGCTCCACCAATTACTAAACTTTTGACCTTGAACAAGTCACTTCAACCTCCCTGAAACTCAGCTTGAGTTAATAATGGGTGTCGGTAATCATATCTATCCTGTGGCATTGTGTTAAAATAGTGTTTAGAAAGGGCACAGCCATGTCTGGAAAATAGGAAATACTAAACAATAGCTATTATTATAATAATATTAGGTGAGGACTTATTTTTAAAAAGCCATAAATGCTGGACTTTAAAATCAAACTCCTTCAGCCAGTTCCCAAAGTTTCAGAGGCCCAAAGAAGKWAGCACCAGGTAAAATGTAAGGGAAGAACTTTTACATTCATATGCTGGGAGGCAGAAAGAAGTTAAACAGGCCACGGAGAGTGAGAAGGAATGTATTTTTATTGCTGACTAAACTCCAGAAAGACAAAACCCACAGCAAACTAATTTGGTCAGTTATTTAAAATTCTTCTCAATTAAGCTGAGATAAAGTGTGATTTGATTTTCTGACCMCTGCTTTGGTGATTCTGGGACGTATGAATGGAGGAACATTCTTCCTACTATTAAGAAAAGAATGGCTGAGGCCCCAGGATTCCCATCTTTCACAGGAAGACAAAGCACCCACAATATGCAAAAGTCTTGGTGCCTAACCCCTCTTCCCTCTCTTCCTCTTCCCAAAGAAACTTCAGTTAAGATGCAACTGTCTRGCCTCTGAGCTAAGAAAAATCCCCAGGACATAGCCCCTGCTTATGGAAGAGAGTCCAGCTACAAAATAGGATGGAAAGGCTAGGCCTGCCTCACCTGGCCAATCGAACATTGTCATTGTCATCTTTGCCCCACTCCCAGCCCTTTCCTGGGTCCACAGCAAAGTGCAAGGGCAACAGCTTATGCTCTGAATCTGTAAGTGGGATCACAGCTGGGAAGGAAAAAAGATGCCGTCAAGGAGTCTCCTTGAGGAGAGAAGAAGGCAACTGAACACAAACTGACTTCACTAAAATCATATACAAGTCTCTAGTCATAGTCACTTCTCAATTCTTACATGTGAATGATCCCAGGCATTAAAAAACAATAGGCTAGTTTTCCCCTACCTCCCAACACACAATTACTACTCTCCCAACACACACTACTCTCCATGACTCCCCACCAGTCAGTCAACTAACTCTCATGATATTCTTGAGTTGTTTATTCAGGGAATTCAGAGTCATTAAGATAAAGACAAATGCAGCAAAGCATCTTTTAGAAGGTGCTATGACCTTAATCCATGAGCCCTTTTCTCCAGAGCAGGGAATATAATTTATGTTCCCCCCTCAAAMCTTTTGATTTTTTAATTCAAAAACTCTGGTGTACTGTATAACTTAGGAAAAGAGTACCAACATGCATTGTGTGGGCTWGCATGTTGCCCTTAATTCTTTCCTCCTATGTTAGCCCTCATTTCCACTCTTCTAAGTGAAAATAATGCAGACCAAAGGACAMTAGAGACATAGACATGCATTTAGCACCTTGTTCCTTGGCATTCTCCTTCTGCTCCATGGACACAAGTGCAGAAAAGTGGGCCTGATCATAGGCGAGCACCAAAGGAGATCGGTGACACTGGCTGGCTGGGACCTCCAAGGGCAGATAGATTCCCCCAAAGGGAATAGGGGCAAATGCTGTAGGAAACCATAGAGATTATTACTAAGGCTGTGTTCTTGCCAAGTGGAAAATCCCTCCACCTGCCTCTGCCAACTGAGTCCCCACTTTCATTCCAACTTCTTTAATAATTGTTTCCAAAGAAGTCTCAGTAATTAACCCCAACTGCTTTACTCTGAATCTCTTCAGAATTTTGCATTTGTTCTAATATGTATCTTTTCTTCCCTCACTAAAAGTCTATATATTTTTCTTTTCTTTCTTCTTCTTCTTCTTTTTTTTTTTTTTTTTTTAGTACCAGGATTGAACCCAGGGGTGCTTAGCAACTGAGTCACATCCTTAGCCCTTTCTATTTTGAGACAGGGCCTTGCTAAGTTGCTACGGCTGGCTTTGAACTTATGATCCTCCTGCCTCAGCCTCCCAAGCCACTGGGTGTGCGCTGCCCGGCTTATACATCCACTTTTCTGCTCTCTTCCTGGTGTTTATTCCAAGGCTCTGCCAATAGTGGGTGCTCAGGGTGGAATGAGGCCTGGCTGGCTGACTCACCTTCTCCTCCAGAGTCCCTCAGCATGGTGTCTGCCACGACGACGATGGGCCTCCTAAGCACATGAGCAAGGACAAAGACATGGAACTCTTCTAGGCTCTCATAGACAGGCTCCTCTGAACTTTCCACCCTGGAGTTGGAGAAGAGAATAGGTGGAAGGGGCACAGTGGAAGGAAGCAGGAAAAACAAAATGAGAGCCCTGAAGACCAATTCTGAAGACAGGGAAAAGCATGTCCTTTCCTTGTTTTCCAATCTTAAGGCTACCACTGATCTAGCTGATTATTTTATTACTAGCTATTTTTACTTCCATTTCACAAATAGGGAAATCCAAGAAAGAATATTTGAAGGCTCTGTGGCTAAGGTGGCATTTGGAAGTTAAAGGTAATCCCTGTCTCTTAATATTCATCTTGCTCAACAAGTCCCTCATTTCTCTTATCCAGTGGCCCAATACACAACAGCATAACCTCATCCTGCTTATCTTACCTACCACAAACACCCACAATTTGTACTAATCATGTCTTACAAAAGAAAATTCCAAAATTCCTCTTTCTGTGTTCCCTTAAAAAAYAGCCTCACATTCTACTCAGTAGCTTAATCAGAAATTTGTGAAATATTCCCATTTTTTTTTATCTCAGCTTCAATTAATCAYGTGGTTAGATCAATTCCATCTCCTGTGTGTCAACTGTACCTGTCTCTTCTGACCTATCTTTAGTCTATCACTCACACACCCACAGCCCTCTTGCCTGGATTATTACTACTATTGCCTTTAGTCTCACTGCCCCCTCTACCCCATCATCCACTGTGGTATAAGTGTGTTCAAATACAGAGAACATACMATGCTTTTACAAGTGTGCCCTTGTCATGAGTCCTCTCTTTCCTTTAAACAACCTCTTAGCACAGTGCTCTCTAGACAGAAAACTCCAGAAAAATTCTTTCCTCCTCCCCATTTTGCCACACTTACCCACCACCATTGGCTCCATTGGTACCTAGATGCATTCGGGGTTCACTTGAGGCAAGTTTGATCAGTTCATTCCATTCCTTCTGCCATTCATCCTCTGTATATACCAGCCCTGACTATGAAAGATAAGCAGGGGATGCCAAGCAATGAGAAGCAAGATTCTAAGAGGAAATACCCATTTTAATTAATTAGTCTCTTAGTATTTGATTTACAATTGTACCACAAAATCAAATTTCTTCCCTTTTAAAGTCAAAATCCATAGAAAGAACAATCTATTATCTTTCAAACATTTTAAAAATCTTCTATTCTTTTCTGACCCATTACAATCTGGTTTTTGTTTCTGCCTTTCATCCTACTCTCCCAATCCCCGACATACCACTTCACCTAACTCCAGTAACGGATAAGTCTTTCAAATTGCCAAATTCAGGGGCTGGGGTTGTGGCTCAGCAGTAGAGCACTCACCTAGCCCTGGGTTCGATCTTCAGCACCATAAAAAAATAAATAAATAAAATAAACTTATTTTTTTTTAAATTGCCAAATTCAGCRGACTCTCTAAAATCCCCAAGATGACTCTCAAATCCTTATCTCTTATCTCTAAATTACTTCTTAATTTCTATTATTCACATATCCAACTACCAATTAGATACTTCTACCTGTCCAGGGCTACCTCAAATTCTTGACATAACAACTTCTGTCTCTGCCCAAACTCATTCTTCTTTCTATATTCTTACCTTAGTGAACACYATCAATTATCATCCTAATACCCAAACGAGAAACCAGGGAATTATCTAAGATTCCTTTCCTTCCTTTACCCACCTCATATCTGGATCCCTTTAGTCAATAATTATGAAGCATTAACTACTTCAGTGCACCCCTAACTTGTTTGTTAACTCTAGTCATGTACTCATGTACTCTTCTAACCAGCTTTCTACAATGCTACTGGAAAACTTTTTCTAAAGTTAAAATCTGATGATGTTTGTGTCCTGATGAGAATTTTTTTAGTAATCCTCATTGTCTGACAGACATAGTTGAAACTCCTTCCCACTGCACGTAACACCCACTTCCTGGCCCCTACCCACTTATCTAGTTGAATAGCTCCCTGATTTAAAAGTAGTACCTGAAGTGCATCACGTTGTTTTGTACCTCTGAGCTTTTTGTCTTAGTCGTTCCTTTTCTGCCTGTTGTAGCCTACTCGTCTATCTGGTAATTTCTAAACTTTCAGGATAAAACTCAAGTACCTCTCCTCTGTGAAGTCCTTCCTAAATATCCCTAGTAATTTAAACACTCCTTTTTTGTGCTTTTCCTTCATACCTGTTTCATCTTGTTGCAATTATGTGTTTGAAATTCATTTCCTATTACTGCTCTTAAAAGCCAGGACCGTGTTTTATGCAATGTGTCCAGTGCCTAATTTGTGATCAGTAATCAGTAAATACAAGTTAAGTGAAACTGTAATTTTTATTAAAGGAGTGTGTGTAGTGGTACAATTTWAAAATATATGATAATTTGAGAGACAAGTTTACTTTTTAGACTTTATTTGGTTTATAKCAGTATTAAAATGAATTTATACTGCTTAATTAAATACCAACAGTAGAAGGATCACACTAGAAACATGAAGAACTTAAGAGCTATTTTAAGCATTTTTAGTAAAAAAGACAAAGCTATTTTCAATTTATAAATGCTATTACAAATTTCATTTCAATTAAAGACAAAAAGAACAATGCACAAATTATATGTGGAAGATTCTAGTCACTCTCATATAATCTCTCTCTCTCTCTCTCTCTCTCCAGGAGGATCTGACTTCCTCTTGCCTATTTCTGATTCCTATTTTTAATACACATAACCACTAGGTGGCATATACTTCTAACCTTATCATTAAGAAAATATTAGGCTTTACCATGAATTCGAACAAAAACCAAGAAGGTTTGAGAAATCAAAACTAATTAAGTTTGGTGTTTGGTACTAGAGTAAGCCAAAAGAAGCTCCTCAATCCTCTTCCCATTCCCCCTGCCAAGGCTGGGTACAATGCCACACACTTCTAAGCTAAGACAATTACATAGGCCACATTTCTATTTCTAGTATGGAACTTGCATTGTGCTGAGCAAAAGAAGTAAAACGATTGCTCCTTCATTAGCTACTATGCATGTTTTCTTTTGGAAGGAAAGGAGGTAAACTTAGGATAGAACTCAGGTACTTGAGGGTCTCCTGTCTAAATAGCATCATAATCTAACCCTATCTTAAAATAAAATAATAATGATAAGAGATTTAAAAGCTGGAATTGGGCACACCTATTTTGACTATTTCCAGAATTTTCACTTCATAATTTGCTGAGGGCCATTACCAAGTAGGWATTGACGMATCGTAATCCCTGCCAGTGTACCCCATGTTAAATGGACTTGCCTTGGAAATTTGCTGCGACCTTGCTTGTGTGTTTGAGAAAGATGACCCTGCTCAAGGTGATCGAGGGTGGATCCAGGTTTGAGGAAGTATCCCGGTCCTTGGGTTTAGGGTGTTCCCGGTTTAAGAATATGGGTTTTAGGGAAGTTGAGGTTGAAGATTATTGCTGCTGGGATTAGGGTGTTCCTGCTGCTTGTTCCCGTTGA